CCAGGGAGATTTTAACATCTGTGGCGATGGTATCACACGTAGCAGTTTTATCATCAGCTAAAACGAGATGAGTTGTTTGTGTTCTCCTTTCGATATCTTTCATTAATGCATGACGATCGGATATACATGAAATTTCTGAACCAGGATCAATCAATGCAAGGATTTTATTTCCATTGCAATATACAGGGATTATTACGCGCTCATCTAAAGAGTCGTTGTACTGTCTGTATAATGATTGTACCTGGTAGTACCGTCACTCCAACTTAATGCTGGGCTTTCGGTCACAAGACTTAATGTGATAACCATTGGTCTTCTCACACTTGTCACACTTAGTAAGAAAGTGTGTACAGGTGGATGCATGTCTACCATTCCAATAACTGTTAGGGGTTAACTGGTACATGTCATACCCACACTTTCCATGTCCTTCGCTCCTGCGCGTGCCCGTTTATTGGGTCGCGTTGTGAAAGTGGATTCGCGAGCATGTGTATGTTGGGGTCTCTCGTTTGAGGTCTGCCTGGATACGTACCCGTGATCGGTGAGCTCCCGCGGCTTCTTAACAGCCGCTTTCCCCTTCGATGTTACTCAATGTGCGGGAAAAAAAGTGGATACAGTATCATAAAACTGTTCCCATGTAAGTCGGGATAGATGAAACTTTGTTTCATGTCCCTTGTTTCTAGCCTCAGTCGCGTGTTTACGTCGCAACTCGGTGTACAGACTCTCACGGTCGTTATTCCCTATGTTCTTACAGAACACGTGCATAACCAGGAATTCGTACCATCGCTGTGCCTTGTCCTTTGTTATATCGGGACGTTGCAGGTTAGAGTCTAACTTCAGAATATAACTCTGAATGGGCGTGTTCTCGGCTGGTTCATTTAAAATTGAACTTAGCCCAGGGCTACGCATATCCTTACTTAACACACAGCTGACCAGATAAGACAAAATTTGTGAAGCGGGTAGCTAGAACGGTGAACAGGCTTGCAGATGGACCTCTTCGAGTACTATGTCTCGGATGATTTAGGGGTAGGCACTTGGAGAGGAGAGGTGACGCGTATATAATACTGGGATGAGGCAACGGCGCTCTTGGACAACCTGTTGTCATTTGACGAGGCGAAGGCGGTTATAGCGGTTTGTGTTGTGGACGAGAGTCACGTGGTTCCCTCGGTATTGTGCGATACTCGCAGATATGCATGCATATGGTACCTTCAGAGCACGATACCTTCCTTGGTAAAAATGGAAAGCTAATTGAATGGTCTACGATGGGATGTACGGTGGTAGGACTCTTGCGTAGTGAAACGGTGGCGCCACGTCAGTTTTTGACGAGGACATTCTGGAAGCGACTGGGTTTTTAGTCGGCCGTATGGTGTGCGTAATCTAGCGGAGCCTACAGTATCGAGTCTCGCAGTGGTTACGCGAGCACGTGCCCGTGAGTTGCAAAGCCAGGAGGCCGAAAAGGCAGATGGCGATGCTGTATGGAACTTCTTGCGTAGTGCTGATATCAAGCATGATGACACGGAGGAAGCTCGCATGCAGTCTCTTCACGAAAGTTACCAGACTCAAATGGTGTTACTCGAGCCGAAGGAGGACTTCAATGACGGATCATGGCGAAGGTGCCACACCAGGTATGAATAAAGACGTATGTGATGGCGTTTTCAATTATGTCCAAGTTCAACCCTCAGGGGCCGGTCTGGGAAACAATGTTCTATCCCAGGCACAAGAGTCAAGGGCCAGTGAGCATGCAACCGTGCAGGAGCAAAGCCGATGCGCAGGGACACCTTGGCTAGCTCGGAGCCAGCCAGTTGGGGCAAAATGTTGGCACGCACACAGGGCGAAGAACTGGTTTCCAGCTGAGCTTCATCAGTCAGCGTAGCTGCCGGAGGTACATGCACATGTGGGTGAATGTATGATGGTCATGCAGCAGCTGCTTTCCGAAGAACGACTGTCCACTGATAGGGCTTTAGACAAGCGCAAACGTAGTTGGCAGAAGTGCATGTCTCGTTGAGAGATGGCTGTCAATGAGGATTACAGAATAACGCTTGGGATGTCATTCCGAAGCCGCTGGAAGATGCATATGAGTGGTCCGAACAGTTATTGGCGGATCTGCGGCGCCAGCAGAAAGTGAGCCAGGAGGAGGCGTGTGGGGCCGGAGAGCAGAGAAGATATACTGAATAAAGAGACCAGAGGTCATTCGGAGACACGTGTTTGGGCACAACCGAATAGGAGCTATGCAGTGTCAGAAAGGGTTGAAGGCGATGGCCCGAGGGTCTCGCTACAGATTCAATCGGTTGACAAGCTCAGTCGTAAACGAAAGGCATCGATGTCGTCACAGTATGCATTGGACGCCCCGGAGGCAATCGGTACGGGTACAAATGGAGCTCAGATAACGCCGAAGGCGGCTTCGGAGACTATCTGGTCGTTGTATTATTCTCACATTTGCACAAGGCCAACGCGCTTGAGTGACTTCATTCAAGACAATTTGAGGCGGAACGTGCCTCGGGACTTGTTGGCTGACGGCGGTGTGCATTGCTCGCAGGTGAGCAGACAAACGGTTACACCGAAGTCTACTGTGCTAGCCGCCATGAGAGAGGGCGTTTGAGGCGGCATAATAACTCGATTACTACTACCATACTCGTAGTCCGGGCGGATATAACTATATCCTCTACTAGGGAATTGACCGGGTGCCCCGACCAGCGGCGTGTGGCAAATATGACCGCATGAATACACTTTTCAGCAGATAGCCTATTACTAGCGAAGGCGTTAGTGGACTGGTGAGCGAGTCGCAATATCCGAGTATATCCAATCCAGAAAAGGCGTCATCAGGCCAACTTTTTGGTTGGAATTATGTGCCGTACCTGAAACAGGTTGCTGTCGCGCTACTCACCGGAGGTCGGCGAGTTTGCGTGGCCGGATGCGGTGACATAGTTCGTCAGAGTATTATCGCATCATGCGGATGCAAAGGTCGTGAAAATTCTGCGAGGATCTTGGGGGTTTAGCAACGCCAGAGTTGTTGGAGTCTGAACGAAAGAGTTTAGATAAGAAGACGTGGGAGATGAACGACAAGACGCAGCTGCCGCAGACGCTAGTAGCAAGATCCTAGCGTGTAGATGTGTCAAAGTTTAATTTGGGACAGGTGGTGATGTTTCGCATGTGTGGGTCCGGCAGAAGTGAAGGCGTTGGATCCGTCAGTCTACGATATTGTAAGCATGCGCTATATGGTAAAGCTTGAGGGCACACAGGGTGCCATTAGTCGGATCAAAGCGTGGCATGGACAAGAGGTGCCTGAATGGTACAGTGTACATAAATTGGCTTATGGACGAGAGCCCTTTGAAGGACGCACAATTAGAGGAGAGAGAGACAGAGTGGTGGCTGCTTTGACAACATGTCCGGAAGCGGTTGTCTTGCAGAGAGGAATCAACACGTATTGGTCGAGGTGGGTAGCGTTTACCCACAAGCATCACGATAGCCGTACTGAGGGTTTTGAACAGTGAGACGCCGACCTAGATGGCACACCATGTGGGTGCTAGGTATGTCGCCAGTTGGAGGAGTGCAATAAATCGGGGGTACCGCTCTGGGTTCTACAAGGGTTATCGATAAGGTGGGTTGAGAGTGTAGGCAGCAAGGCGGCGGGAGCGTATACGCCGCGGTCAAGTGGATGTCCAGTAAAAGATCAAGGTACCACCTTTACAGGACTGGGTAGATATAGCTGTAACCCAGGGCCTCACAGGTATGACAGTATAAACGCAGAGTATAACGAAATATTACGTTATAGGCTGCGTGAAATGATCGACTATTTTTCTTTTTAATTATACGATCGGATCCTGTAGACTAGTGGAACTCAGGTGCTACAGCCTTACGTCCCTTGGTGGGTGTATTGACCACAGGATCAGGGGTTCGGTACAGGAAGCACTGAACTAGTTGCCACGAGTACTTGGAAGGAATCAGCTGTCAGGCTGATATATGGGGATCAAGGGGTAACAGTGGCACGTCAGAGGAGAAAGAGATTGTTGGCGAATACATCTCGAGTGTGCCGCATAGTGACAAAGTGTATCATAGAGGAGAAGATATATATAGTAGAGCTAGGTAGTAAGAAGGCTAGTGACACTATACGGAGTGGAAAGGTACTATGCCAATGGGAGAAGTGCCAATAGGGCAAGTACTATATATATACAAGGAAACACACAGTAGTGCATTCGAGTGTACATCTCGAAGGCTTAGATGCACGGCTAATAACTCGATCGAACATATACAACTCATGTGGGTTTAACACCTTCTACGTTTAAATTTTTATTTATTTATATAGTTTGTATTCACTTTGTACATAAATATACATATACCGATACACATGGCTGCCGACACGACACTTGACAGGTCATACTAGTGAACACTAATGACACAGGTCACAGAGGACAGGCCAAAGCCCAAAGGTGACAGCCTCACTGACTGGCGACCAGGTGTATTTATTTCTCTTTTGAGTTGGACTGAAACCCGGCATCTTATTTGATTGTATACCGTTTCGAAATCCACGCATTTCCTAGAACCTTCTATCTTTTTTTTCAATGATTACGTTGTGCGATGCCGCCGCTGATACTTGGTATTGATTTGCGGTTAATAAAGGTAGCCTCATACTGGTCTTTTTAAACATTTTAGAAATAATAACTTTATGTGACGCTTCCTGTCCTCGTGTGCGGCTTTTTACTTTATACACGTGCAGTGATATAGTGGATATTCAACTATCGCACGCATGCATCAGGAAAGCTATCATAGCCTTCACGACAATGTTCGTGAATAAATGTATACACCTTTAGAAATGAAAGAAAATGGTACTTGAAGCTTACATCAATGTATAGGTAGTGTTCGATTTGCAATTTATTATCTGAGATGCACACCATTTGCCTTTGATATAGTTAATATGCCCTGTAAACTAGTTTTGCTATTCACATCTTTTTCGTGTGATTGACTTTTCGCCTTCTGAATATTTCAGATTGCTGTGGTTTGGCGTGTTGATTATTATTTTTTGTCTGCCTTTAGACATCGATGTGTAGTTTGTAAGTAGATATGATCTTAATTGCCTTTTCAGAATCCGTATTCTGATTCCGAGGTATTGAATGTATTCCGTTGATGAGTGTGTTAAAATGATGGTATAGACCGATCCAGGTACTAAGCGCTATTGTCCGCCGCTTTCGTCCTGTGTTTGAATCGACGATGCATTGTCGGCCGTCGTGTCGGTAGGCGCACTCAATGAATTGGTCGTCATTGCCTTGAAAACCCTGTGATGTGAGGTCGTCTTGTCTCCATGTTGCAATTCTGTTCACGTGACGTGTGGCAATATATATATATATATATTAGATGCGTCAGTATATGATGAATGAATGGTGAGCGCGACTCGGCGGTCAGCAAGCTGTTGAATCATTCTGCATATTCGGTAAGGGACACTGTTCAGTTGGAGGGCAATCGAAGGGTAGGAGAGGCACAACAGCAATAATGTCGTTTTGCTTCGTGAAGGAGGAAGAGCACCTGTGGGCCTAATTTCCAACTCAGATGTCAGATGTTAATTTGAAATTTATAAATAACATTCAGGAATCAACGAACAAATATGGGGAGATATTGCTAGGTTAACGACAAGAGAGCTGGGGGGGGGGGGGTGGGTTTTTTTGGCGGTTTTTAACGATTTGTGTGATACACACTAGTGCATGGATTCTGCCATATGTTCAAAGCATACTTGGTGTGTGTGTGCATTCTAAACTACCTGTACCTATAATGCCGACAACAGTCATTTTAATGTATAGATTGTGAGGGATCACGTTCAAGGTCTGTTGATAATAACTACACAAGAGGTACAAATCAACTAATCACCCTAATTTATATACACTTGTACTTGTATCGGTATACGTATCAAAGACACACATCGGTTTGTCATACTTGCATGAATATATTAGCACAAAAATGCCCTTGTGAATATCCTTACATACCGATATCTTTCCGATGAATATGTGCATATGTGCAATCATGACATATAGCTTCTAACGACATACTCCTAATATAAATTGGAGCGCTCCATGAACTCATAAATCTAACTGAATTCTGTGCGCAGAAGCATGGACTCTAAAATATGCTGATGTACACTGCCACATAGAATTCCACAAAAAGTGCATATAATACAGGTATATTTATACATATATCCACATCCAATCGGCTTTTACATGCACTCTGAGGTTTTGAACCCCTTTCTCACCTGTCACAAAATGCACCGTGCCATCTTCGTCTAGCCACTTATCCTCCGTCCATATGTAGCCTGCGGAACGTCCAACCGAACGCCCGCGGCAGAGCAGATGGCCAGTGTCTCGGTCGTATCTACTCTGCCTCTCCTGAATGATACCAGGTTGTATATGGCGACTATTGAGTATATCTTGTTGTTCATGATCGAGCTCCACAAATAAAAACACTCATCCGGGAGAGCAACTTCCCTCTTCGCTCGCGCGTGCCCACGCAAATATAAGATGTAGAAGCCCATGAATAGTTACTGTTTTGTATTGAACAAACGAGTGGTATAAAAGCGAGTATGCAATGGTCTGTCTCAGGACAGGAGGCGAGTAGTGGGATACGCAGGCGGTACATTAGGGATACTGGATAGTGCTGATCCACTACAATAAAGCTGATGCGGTTTGCATCGATACACTATGAGTGTGCATGCACAAATAAACAGCATCTTTAGTATATGACAATCGTGTAAACTAAAACGTATTAGCATATTCATGTAATACGACATAGTGCGTGTATACTCTATTTGCGACCTGGAATAAATTTTGTTGAGGATTCTAAAACTCTTCTTGGATATGTGTCCTTGTGTTTTGATCAGTGTTTTCGTTTCTATAGACACTTCCTACATCATCGCTTTCACTTTTCGTATCCAAGTGACAGATTTGATGAAGACAATAGCCGGATATCTATCACCAGAAAATAATTGCCATCGAGAGGCTCATGCGTCACGATTTAAATAGCGCTCGCCTGAAAATGAGAGTATCTCATTCATCACGTGCCTGCCCATTGCTACTTGTATGACGCACATGAGTGTAAAATAGATATTCCAATTTTCACTGACACTTGTCCTTCTCTATACCTGTTAATAATCATACTACATACGCAATCGACTCTATATTTGCTTCCACGTCGACCAGGCGGCATAAAACCCCACAGGTATACTACGTCACTCATACAAGAAATTTCACATACCACATCGACACAGAAGGCGTCGTTATAGAATTCGGTATACGGGCCGTACTCCCCATTCGTTCCCAGCTCAAAAGTGACGCTCTTATTGACGAGTGATGTGAGTATCTGTCAAAATACAACATTTTGTTTTCTTCTTCTTCAGCATTTGATGTCGTGAAATATGACGCTGCAAACAGGCTAAACAGTTCAGAATGTACAAGAAGATATATTTTATGGCATACAATACAATACGAATATTATCGGACAACATATAGGGATGCAACATGCGACACAAAATCTGAATTCTCAATATACTATAAAAATGTAGATAGTATATATATATGTATATATACACACACATATATATATATGTATATATACACACACATATATATATATGTATATATACACACACACATATATATATATGTATACACACACACACATATATATAAATAAATAATTATTCTATAAATATACAAATAAATAATAAATAATATTAAATATATATATATTTAAATACAGATATATATGTATATATATAAATATACATACATACATACACACACACACACATATATATATACATATATATACATACATACACACACACACACACATATAATAATATATATACATACATACATATATATATTGAATATACAATATATAATATAATAATATATATACATACATATATATATGTGTACATGCATATGTTTTATATATATATATGAACAAATAGTATATGTATAAGTATATATATATATATATACATACATATATATCCATATGTATAGACATATATATATATATATATAACCATACATACATACATACATACATACGCACGCACGCACACGCACACATAAATACATACACACATATATATATATACACATATACATATATATTGTATTCTTCACAATCTGTTAGTCTGTGCAAGGAATTGTTTGCATATTTTCAAACCCATAAACGTCAAACACGATACCTGCGTACATATACACAACGATGTATGAGGACAGCTACAGTTTAATGAATGGGGATATTACTTTATATTCCAAAAACTGATCTTGAAACTATAAGAACTTATATGTGAGTATGCGTGGATGTCTTATGCGTGCACCGTGCGTACGTACAATGGCATGTATAATTGGCATGTAAAACTACCTTTTCGGTCATGAACAGTTTATCTCCCTCCTTCTTCGGCTCCAGTTGGAGATCAACGCTCAGAGCAGCAAGCATTTTGATTCTCATCCAATTCAAACCTAAAGAAGATAGAGCAAAGAAACATAAAGCGAGTAAGGAACAACGCGTCACGTTCCGTAGTTACTTAACAGGTCCCGAGATGCACACCGCAATTTCGACGGGATAAATTTTTAAAGGTGTTTGTAGCACTTTGCTGATCTCGATCAAACACATGCATTAGCAAAAACTAATATAACCAGTATCTCGTATCACAGATAGCAATAGTGCAGAGTCGAGAACTCGAGACTCAACCCTCGTGAATCGTGAGTGATGGGCGACAGAAGCTACTGTATATTCAGAGAGAGATTAAAAACAAAATTAAAAACATCATTCATAACGTGAAACCCTACAATCTCCAGTACCCAAAGTCCCAAACCTGTGACCGCCAAAATGCAATGTCAGCAAAGTGAGCAAACTCGCATTCATAAGTTCCGCCGCAGCAAGAATGTGATGACACTTCGATGTGATGCATAGTATTCTTCATAATAATATAAATGAAACTGGTTTAAAAAATAGACCGACTACCTCCCATACCTAAATGAACTTTTCGTACCGTAGCTGATACTGACGAACACGCATACTGTACTGCGACGGGCTCATAGCTGAGTTCAGTACTAAAATCGTATCTATTCATAGATAGCTAGTTAAATAACGTAGTGCAGGCCGGAGCAATGCTAAAGAAAACGATAGGCATTGAAATATGCACGACTGCTATGTTCCTGAAAAGAACGAAAATTCTATGCGATACTTACAAGGTAACATTGTGTACTATCTTTAGAATTTTGGTCGAATACGCCACAAGGTGCAGGTACTCTTAAAACAACAAACAACTCTACACTGAAGATCTAGTTCTGGAAATCGAAATGCGCATCCATAGATCCGTATCTCTATGCTGTACATATCTGATGAGTTCTACCTTCAATTTTCAAATTCGTACTTGATGCTGTACATATCTGATGAGTTCTACCTTCAATTTTCAAATTCGTACTTGCGATATAACCACTGGGAGTTACAAGTATGTTGCATCACTTACAATATGATCACTAATTTCAGAATACAGGCAACATACATACGTTAAATATCACACCTGCATGTTTCAGCATATCTACAATACTCTCCGATTCCTCCTGGTCCAAACTCCTCAGACCTTCGAACTGTTTCAGTTCTGATAGCTCAACAGGACTTGAATATTTTCGTACGTTATCAAGCTCAGTAACCACTTGGCAATTGCCTACACACCGGCTTTTAATTTCCCCACACGCGCACATCTCTGTGTCCGATCTTATTGTGGTAACTCTGTTTTCCCCCGTGACGTTTCCAATTCCTTTTTTCCTGTCTTGATCCGCCTTAATCGCGTCTGCCAGTTTGTAAAACGACACACTCAACATCTCTGTGGATTTCCTCGCTATCGAATTTCTAGCCTCAGCCCACATATGGTGAAGAGCAACAGCCTCCCCATCGGTACTATGTATGTCAACATCGAGATGATGTTTGGGATTGTAATTGTCCACGCATCGCGTGTATGCGCCGCATATGCAGAGATCGGCCACTGTTCTATGTGTATGAGGTTGTGTTGATGTGAAGGTTCTTTTCTGTGTAGTTGCGTGACCGGCAGAGTGTGTAGATGCATGGGTATGTGTGGTTGCTTCTGATTTATGTCCAAAATGTCGGTTTATGTTGTTTATATCTTCAACAGGATGTTCGTCGCATATCTTTGAGCCATTGTTTGAGGAAATATTAACCCCATCATCCAGTTTACTGGTTATTTGCAACCACTGGTGTACACCTCTAGCGCTTGTGGTGAAGTAGTGGATCATGTTCCTAATTTGAAGTTTGGATCTTGCCTTTGATAAATTGGTTTATGACTCGTGTACTCAAGCCCGCAGTAGTAGTGTATGTATGTATTCAAATATATGACTATCTATATGAGAATTGAGATGTACTGCATAAATACAAGTCTCAGAGTTTGTGACGACAGAAGATGTGTTCTATTTAAAAAAAAGAAGGTTTTGTATTGATTTAGAGTCCATATGATATTTGTTGCTGTTTATGTTTAGTATAACGATTTTTCAATTTTCAATTTAGATGCGTATTTATATGATGACTTGCTTATTATATCGTGTTCGCTTTACTTTTTATATATAGAAGCGTGTCGAAGAATGAAGATGTAGCAGGAAATCAGAAACAATAATACATATATTGACACAAGAAGAGCACAACTGATCGGCTATTTCTGATCTGAGTACAATGTGTCAATGCATATGTCATTTGACTATTCACTAAATGAGCATGTATTTTTTCAGATTTTTTTAGATTTCATTTATAAAGGTATCTTTGTAAATAAAAGTATGTATAACTAATACATTCATATGCAATTCCTGTAGGTTGAATGCGTGGCCTTGAGCCCGTGAGGCGTGAGTGCGTGACGGCACTTTGGTATTCCTTTATTTTGTGATGACGCACTGTGTGTAGACACGGGGAGTAGCCTTTCTACAAATGAAACATAAATTGGAAAATCAAAAAAGCTGTGAGCCCAGGCCCCAGGGCCCCGGGCGGCCGGGCCTGTGACTGTGAGGCTGTGAGTGGGTTGGACTGTTGGTATAAATAGTTTCTCTGAACTCCTCCAATAGTTTTTTTTCCGCCGCAATTTATTTTAAAAAACAAAATGTATTCTATATTATTTAAAAAATATATATATGTAGGAGTCGGCAACTCCTAATCGGGAAAATTCGGGATTCGCGGGGGAATCCGAATTTTGTATTATTTTTTGGTCTGGGACCATTCTCGAAATTTCAGTGCACAATGTCGAAAAATTGTGGCCAATGAATTTTGATGAGTCATCATCACATGACCCTTGCGCAACGACTAAACGTAGAATTAATGAGAAATTGCGAATAGGTTTAGAGCTTAAAGTTCGTAGACATTACGTAGACATTTAGGCTTAGTTGTAGACCTTTCGACCGCTACGGGTCTGTCGAAAATTGTATAAATAGGGTAGTATAATAGCTTGCAATCCTCAGACTTTAACACAAAGGATTAAGAAATATGATTTTTGGACTCGGGGCTTTTCGGGTTTGGCCAAGGATTTGTGGAATCTTGGGATTGCCGGCCACGATCAAATTGGGATCAGGACAGGAAATTAGGGTCAGGGATCTTATAATTCAAGTTGCTGGAAAGCCCCTCTGTATCGTACCCCTTAGAAGTACTCTGAGGCAAATACTATCGTAATTCAAATAGTTAGTTTCATTATGGCTAATGCAGAGCAGCAGTGGGTTACAATGATGGAGGCGAAGGTCCAACAGACGGAGGCTGCATTAACGCAGCTTTAGCTTCAATTAACCGAGGAAAAAAATATAGACCTTGTGGGGTTAGAACCAATCTCAACAACCCAGACGTGTATGATGGGAGGGCAGATGTGTCTTGCGTTTGCAAATCGCTATATCAAATGGAACAGATGTTTGCAGCGGAACGGGTTGCAGCCGGACGTGATGTCGAAGAAGCAGTGAAGTTACAATATGCTAGTACGTTTCTTAGTGGCCGTGCATTGTCGTGGTATCGTGAGAATGCGGGGCGGTTTAACACTTGGGGCGATATGTCTGCCGGTCTGCAAACTATATTCTTGGCACCAAATTGGGAGAACGACTGCCGCGAGAAGATTATAGTAGTACATCAGGTTGGTTTGATGCGTGTATATACTGAAAGGTTCCAGGAGCTACTACTCAATGTACCGCGCATTGCTGACGAGGTGAAAGTTACCATCTTCATTCGTGGACTGAAGGATCAGCTGAAGATGGAAGTTCGTCTTAAACATGAAATAAGCCGGGCCTCCACATTAGACTCTATGTATAAACGTACTCTTAAGCAGTACGCAAATTATAAACGTACTCTTAATAGTACGAGGAACTTGTAGAAATACGGCCTCCGGTCAGTCTAAAATATCAAGATCAATTGAGATAATACATTGGTTTTTATTTGTATTTTAAATAATTTAATACAAGACCTTTTTCCAATATTTCCAAAGTGTTCTAAATTCACTTTGATGGCTCCAATAGCCTGGGTATTTGGTATGACTCATCTACTTGGACCTATTTGAGACATTAGTAGATGTAGGATACTATAAACTAAATTTTATAATCTCCGAACTGCTACTTATAGATTTTGGTCCTCCCGCTCTTTTTTTAACTTTTCTTCAGATGGAACTTTATTTATATCAGCTAATGTATTAACGTAACGTGACTTACGTTATTATGTCTATCTACAAATTAGGCATGTGGTT